CAACAAATGAGCTAAGCTTTCAAACACGCGCCGCCTTACTCGTGACGTCACAAGCCGCGAAGCGTCTTGACCCACAAAACATTGGGGGAAGCAAACGGGTAGCCACGCCAGATAATCGTGGGCTAAAAATAGAAACCAGTCTTGGCTGGAAAACAATCAATGGCCCCTAATGAGCATGGAAAACCGTGGCTCGCAAAGATCACCGGATCGTGTTGGTTAATCCCCACCTGACCATTTGGCCGACTATTTTTAGAGCGGGCCAGCACAAAATTTCACAAGCCTGGCTTTAGGAAAACCCTAACCTAAGTCAACCTGGCATCAAGTAACGCAAAAACCACCGCCTAACCAATGCAATTCAATGCAATTCAATTCAAATCACTTGCTTGCAGCGCACAACTGAATTTCACAATGTATCTTGTATCTTTTCACAATCAGTATCTTGAAAACCCCCAAGATCACCCACACACATGCACTGCTCGAAATCAAACACGCTGACGTAGCCGGCCGCCTTTAAAACATGAGCTGTCCCAAGTCGCGCGCGGAATTGTGGGGTAAACATCGATCGGCGACCTTTGTAAATCACCGCGGCTTGGGGTGGCGATAGAGGCGGTGGGTTGGGGGTGGCGCTGGAGCGCCAATGACGTCAAGGCACGCGACTCGCATTTGTTAATTGGAAGCGCGCCGCCAGGTGAGAAGCCAACTCAGCGCGCAGCAAATCCAAGCCCCCGCAAAAAGCGCCGTGTGTCGCTATGCGGGGCAACCACCTGATGAGTCAGCGGTGGTTACGGGCTTATTGGTATGGGTAGGTGGGCAGTGTTATCACACGGCTACACGGCGAGAAAAGGGAACGGGCGGCCATCGCAATCTAATCGAAACTCACTTCCAGTGCGAAATTTTCACAGCAAACCAATTAACCAATTAAATACAATTTAATGTATGCCTAGTATCAACAAATTTGATGACAGTTTGATGGTAGTCAAGACACTTGCAGCTGCGGAGTACTTAAGATCTCCATAATTGGGTTTCCAGTTGGCACCATTTGGATAGAATTTCCTTCGTACCCTTTAAGTACAGCAAATAAACTTAAAGTGTGCTGTAATCTACAATCAAGCTGCAACTAAGGCCGCTGCAATCTTATCAAAATTCTGGCCAACATGATCGCTTCTTGGCCAGGCTAAGCTTAATGATTTAACTGCTTGAAAATTAGCTGTAATGAAATTTCCCATATATCGTTATATATCACATAGCGCCGCTCCTATCTCATCGCGATAGCCGCTCCTTTTCTCGCGGTGCAGCGCGCTTCAATGCGCCACCTGTTGCCAATGCAACAAGGTCGTTCGGTGTTATCACTGCCCCTCTTATCGCAGCACACGCCCCCGTAACGGAGGCTCGTCCTACTCCCACTCCCACTCCCAGTCCCAGTCCCAATCCCATTTTCATTCCCATTGCTTAATTAACTTATTTGACATTTCATTTACTCGGAGCCGCAATAAGTTTAATTGGGCAACACGACAATCAATTGCAAATGCCAAGTGCCATGTGCCAAGTGCCAAGTGCCGCTGCCAGGTCATAAATCGCCGCAATCCGCATTCAATCTATTTAATTGTCGCCGCTGACGCACGATCACAGGTGGATGCGTCAATCTGGAAAGTGGAGCGGATGGGGGCCATCCACTGGTAACGGTAACGCACCTTTTCGGCCTTTTTCGGCGTAACCATCCAAACATCCAAGCAAAACTAAGGTCAAGAACTCAACAAATGGGTGGCTGATAACGAGAGCACTCGAAAGTTCCAATCGCTGGACATGATCGGAAGGCTACCCTAAAAATGGGTATCTTGGGCGCCAGGCTAACGGCAATTTCGAAATGGAAAGCAATCGTTTGTATCTGTATCTCGATTAGGGCATTTCATGCCCGCGGCAAACGCATTCCAAACTCTTTCGTTTCGTTTTGGTTAGATTTCATTCTTTGTCTTTGTCTTTTCCTGTTTCTTTTTTTGGTTTTTTTGGCATTTCGCGGGCTGATGAAATAAACGAGGTAAGAACAAAAATGCGGCCATAAATAAACGCTTTGATCGGATTTTTGGCAAATACTGCGCTCTGCTTTTAATTTGTATGCATAAATAATAATTATGAGTGTTTCTCGGAATCATTTGCAAAAGGGATGCAGTATTGGATCATCATCATATTGGATCGATCGATCGATCCAGCGATCCAGCGATCCAACGATCGATTGGCTAAACTAGGGTTCCGGGAATGCATGTGGGCGTCATCGAGCTGACTCAGCTGGGCTCATCTGCTCCTGGTTTCCCAGGATGCCCGGCAATTCGTGGCGAGTACGGAAAACATAAGCGCAGATATTTGAAATGCGAATGCGACAAGATACAAATGGCATCTCTCAGATCAATACAGCTGCTGAACTGGAAGCCGCCTTATTGAATCTAATCATCTAAAAATGATATGAAATTATGTTATAAATATTTTATGACCCCCAGCAGCAACAATAACAACAATGGATGGGGCCAATCAAGCGACAACAACAGCAGCAACCACATAAATATCACGTATTTTAACGCTGTTTTCGGATCGTTTTCTCATTCTTTTCTTATTTTCTTCCTTTTTTAATCTTTTTTGGTGTTCGTTTGTGGCGGCTTTTGCTGTTAATCATTTTGTGGTCTCCACCGTTGTTGTTGTTGTGGCTGTTGCTGTTGTTGCCGGGTATCGTCGAGTTAATCTTGTTAAAACAAACCGTTTCAATAAATACAGCGATAATGCAATTTTAATGCCATTAAGATGAGCACCAATTATGGCCAGCACCAGAGAATCAACTATGGCCAGCTACCCTTTGTGCTCCCCGCGATCCTTTTGGCCCATTTCATTTCATCTTTGGCCGCAAAATCATTTGCGAATCCTTAAAGCGGCGACGGCAAAAGTTTTACATCCCAACCCACATGATTATCGGGCGATACCCTAACTTCTTGGCGGGCCAAACTCTTGCAGTGATTCAGTTGGCGCTCTTTTAAAAGGTATCAACCAATTACTTTATGTTTGCTTCATTTATGGTAAATATAAATAAATAAATAATACAAATAAATAAATAAATAAATTAATAAATATATAATACAAATATTTTGTAAAACCGAAATCTTTTCGACTTCAATGGTAATTTAAAAGTAAGAGCAATTTTGCGGAGACCTTGTGAGAGGGCACTCAGCAGTCGGCGCGTTAGCTGGACGCACTTCCTCCTGACCTCGCCCCATCCTGCTCCGACTGCGACTGGAGGCGGGCGGCGGCTCGATAGGGTTTCGGGGATTTGGGAAAGGGTGGTGGAAAGGGTGGAGTGGAGCATTGGGGGATTGGGGATCGCTGCCATATCCATCTCTGGTGCGTCTTGTGCGCAGGCCGCGCTTAATCCGCTGGCCGAGTTTGACAGACTCCGCGAGGGGGCGGTGGGGGCAGCGGATTGTTTTTTATTGTTTATTTAACATTTCTGCGCTTTTATTTCGCGCTGTCCGCGCTCCACCGCTCCACCGCTCCACCGCTCCACCGCCCCCCGCCGCATCCCCGCCACTGTCTGTCCATCGAACGGATCGCCGGTTTCGCTTTGTTGTTGCTGTTCCTTGCATTTTCATTGTTCTTTATGATGCTCATTTAAAATTCAAGCTTTGTTTCATTAAGAAACACGTTCGTCCCAGTCCCAGTCCCAGTCCCAGTCGCAGGCCCCAGTTGCCAGTTGGCAGTTCCCAGTTCCCAGTTGCCCCGATCCCCGGCTCCCCTCCTGGAATCACTTCCCCACCCCACTCCGCCTGCACTCCTCGTCGGTTCACCGATCTTGGCCATTCCTGGGCCAGCGCCAATTTCGACATTAACGCCGCCGACGGCGCTACGCAGCTTGTTAACGTTTTTTAATGCCCCGATTCAAAGGTTAACAATCAGACTGCGACTGGGAATGGGAATGGTACTGCGAATGGATCTGGGTATGGGTATGGGTATGGGATGTGGAGCTGTTGATGGCGGAGGCCATTGATAAGCCGGCGCTCATTAAAGATGCCAGGAATTTTCACAGCTCTCCCGCCCTCCGCTCATTCCGTGCTAATCCCGCGAGCGTGTCAAAGAGCCCTCGACTCCTCGACTCCCTGATTCCTCGCCCTCGTCCTCATGCCACAAATGTGCGATCCTTACAGCTGTCCTTGCCGCTGCTTCTTTCACTCGATCCCCTGGCAGCTGAAACACTTTGGAGGTCGAGCGAAAATGATTTGTACAATTTTGTAGTACATAATTGATTTCGTTGAGTGGACGAGATTGGGATCAACAAGTAGGGATTGGGAGGGCGTTTACCAGCATCCACCAACGCCGGTGGTCAAAGTTCGAGTGGATCTGGAGCAGGGCACCTGCTATAACTGGCCATAACTACGATCACCCAATCTGCGCCAGTCTAATAGCTCAATTCGCAGTGCCATAAAAGCCAAAAGGCCAGACCGACTTTGGATGTCCATCCATCCATCTTGGACACTTGGACTCGCAGGGCGCGTCGTAAAAATAAAAGTCATTGACTCAATTTTGGAAATGCCTCACACACGACGACAGCGAACATCCCCACGAAATAAAAAAGGGGCAGAAGGCAGAAGGCGGAAGGCAGAAGGCAGAAGGCAGAAGGGGGGCGTGCCAGCAGGCGCTTGTGATTATCCTTTCGCACGTTCGGCGTTGCTTAACAAATCATAAATATGGCCCGGGCTCTGTTATTGATGGTGGTCGCTGGACGCAAAGGGAAAAAACCACAAAGCAGCGCTCCAAAGAGCTGGCAACATCAGCAGCAGGGGGAGAAAGATCAAGAAACGAGAACCAGGTTTCCACCTTTTTTATGGGGGCCCCCAGCTTGAGTCCAACTGGAAGACCAGCACCAGCACCAGCACCAGCACCAAGACCAAAAGCAAGACCCAGTCGAAGTTCCAGCACCACCGCGCCCCACCAAAGGCTTCAATCATTTAATAAGCGCTGCCTGCCAGGTTGTTGCTTGTTTGGGCCACGACAAAAGAAGCCTTCCGCCATGTTATTAACTTATTCATAACAATAACGAGAGCAGCACGGATACCGAACGGCGGACGGGGCAGCACCTCCTCCTCCTTGTACTCCACATCCTCCTATCCTGCTATCCGCCAGTTGTCTGCGTTTCTGGGAGACTTCCACAGAGACACTCGCCCAAGCCTCCCACAGATCTATGCACACATTCATAGATCTCTGCCAGACTTGGCAGCGTATCTCTTCGGGATCTCATTCCTAGCCTCGTGGGCTGATCTCGGAGCAGGATCCCTGCGTCCCAGGACTGAACACGAAACTAGGTCTTCTCTCTGGCGACGGGAGTGGAGTCGGAGCAGGCATGGGTCCAGTCTGCTTTCTGCGTGTGGTGTTCTCAACTTGAAGGATTTGGCAGAAGGTTCGCGTCACGACGAGATCATTCTGTTGGGATTGCTCATCAGTGGGTGGCACCGTCAACCGGATGGCAGTACTCACCTCACCCGCTTGTGGGCACAGTTTTGGACACAGCTTGGAGCTACCCAGCAGTCGACCCATTTCACAGCCCATCCTGCCCAAAGCACTGACCCTGGCATCTGCACCAGCCTGCTCCTCCTCCGTTTGCCGCCGCTGGTGGAGCAGCCACTGCGTCCTGGGGTCCCTCAGGAACTCATCGTTGTGGATGAGCCGCTCCAGCTCGGCAATGCCGCGACACAATCTCCGCTGGTGGCTCAAACAGCGAGCCAATCCCGCGTTCACCCTGCTGATCACTGACGAATTTGGCATCCTATTGCAAGGAGATGGGGAATATGTTGACTCCAAAACAAGAAAAAATCACAATAGTTGTGGGGCTCGCTTCGAGTGTTCCCAGCACGCCTCCCTGATTGGGGGCTCCGGCATATTTGAGCAGTGAGTGTGCCCAGCGCTTGGCAGTTCATCAATCAATCGCAATGTCGATGATGAGTTATGATCGGCGCAGAAAGCGCCTCCAGGAACCACAAGGCGGCATGATTGGGGGTTGATCTGCTGGGGGGCAGCTGGGCAGTAATAAAATCGCATTGTCTTAGCAATTCGAGGGCTTCGATTTCGAACACAGGACTCTGGATGCCCTAATTGCTGGCACTCAGCTGGGAAAATGCGTGTGTGTTAAAGTCACGACTTATCAGACAATAAAAGGGAAGCCAAGTGAGAGACACTTGATCTTTGCTCTATGCCTAGACCCTCAGTCCCGCAGTCCCTCAGTCCCGCAGTCCCTCAATCCCTCAATCCCATTTCCAATGGCCATCACCTACCTATGTGTACAAAGTATCTGCGTGTGTGTACTCGCATATCTGGGCTGGCCCATCTCTGCTGAGCTGCGTTTTGGCCGCAATTTATCACACGCCACTTGTAGCCGGTTTTTGATCTAATAAAAACTGTCAAAACGTTTGCAGGATGCTGGGAAAATATTTACACGGCACACAAAGTGCGGGAACGAGAGAGTGCGAGTGGGAAAGGGAAGGGGAGGGTGCAATGTGGTGTGGGATGGGCCCGAAACAGTTAGCAGCGAACAAAGGGCCCAAAGGATCGCAGATCGGAGATCAGGACGCAGCAGCAGGTCAAGCCTTGGGCGGTATGACACATCAGGAATGAGCCTCAGAGATTTAGACATTAAAGGACCCACACAGCTGATTGTGCCGATCCTGGTGCATGGTGTTCCGCCGCATCGGCTGCCTATTGAAAAGATGAAAGTGAATTTCCCTCTTGGCAGCGGGAAAATGCCGAAGAAAAGAATGCCTTGCAGTCGCTCAATTGAAATGAAATGAAGTGAAATGAAGTGAAATGAGCGTGGAGCGTTGAAGAGTTCTGGGCGGCCAGTGCACGTTTAGATATTTTTATGGAGTTCCCGGGAACTGTCGCTGGCTCCGTCCACATGGGCCACATGGTCGCCGACTGCTCCTCGTTCTGTCGAATCTCGGAATGTTTCTATTAACACGGCCCCGGGCATTGTTCCGCCGCTCTCGGGATCCGTTTCTACTTGCCGCCAGTGGGAAAACTGGACTCGTCCCGACTGAAACGGAAACTGAAACTGAAACTGTCAACGCCGAAGCCCAGTGGAGAAAAATGTCACCAGCGCTGCATAGTTGAGCGTAGTGAGACGTCAATTCGGCGAGCATTTCCTGTCCAGCCACCAGCGCTGGAGCTGCCCCATCTCCGCCAGCTGCAGACTCTGCCCCTCCAGGCGCGCACATTGCTCAATGTCAGGGGTTGCACAAGCGAAGAAGAGCCGTTTTGACCTTGCCGCCGGTTTAGCAGCCGCCAAAGGGAGCTTAGCCAAAAATGTGAAATAAAAATAAATACAATGAAAACGCCAAAAGGTCTTTGGGGCCTTGCGAAACGCGGCGATCGTAAAAAACGGTTAAGCACTTGATTTATGGGGTGTTATAAGGTGTTAGACCTGCCCAGGTACGACTAAGATACAGATACAGACACAGATACAGATACAGATGGAGATACATATACAGATGGAGATACAGATAGAGATGCCAGATGAGAGTGTAACAAGAAAGGCAATTCTGAAGTTCACTTTCCGAATTCGTTGCGATTCGTAGGCAGATCTATTACAATCAAGAGTCATATACAAAGACACTTGCCTTGCAGCGGCTTTAAGGATAACAGGTTCCAGGTGGATTAAGTAATCAGCAGATCATGAGAGGGGGGTTTAGCTATGAAATGATCATGCCATTGCATAGTTCTAGGCTTGGCGGGGCTAATTTTCAAGGGAAGCGTGTCCGATCGCCACGCCCTCTTATCGCCACCCAGTCACGTCGCCGTAATCGGATGATAAGCGCAATCGGCGCCTAAGAGGCGGCAAGGGTTCGGAATGGGTATCTGTTTCAGGTTCAGTTTCAGGTTCAGGTTCGCTCGAATTAGATATAATTAGGTGCGAGTGCAGGCAGTCACGGCAATCGGAAATCAGCAGTTGCAGCGACAGGGGCAACAATAAGCACAATGATGATGGCCAAAAGAGGAAGTTAATCCGTGGCCATAATCGCAGCATAGCGCCACAGCATGAGGCAACAGCATCCACTCGCCCCTCCGCCAGCCGATCCCCTCCAGCGGAGGGGCTCCATTGAAGTGTCAGCAGTGCCACACATCGCTGGGTTCCCCTCTGTGCGTCGGCGAGGGTGTCTCCGATGGTAATCTCGGCCTGCTCCACTCCACGCTACCCTGCAGATGCGCACGGGTCCACTGGAGTCGCCGACCAACTGGCCATGTGTGTGGTACGCTGAGGCGAGACCCAAAGTGATTATCAGTTCGTTTGCTTATCAGCTATGTTAATTAGTGAGTTGATAGGACATCTGAGCATGATGAAATGTTGTGCTGTTCAAATTCAACGAATTTTGCGGAGTTCGCAAGCAAAATCCATATTATTTGGCAACATTTAAAAGTCAGGGCATTTGCCGTGCGATTCCAGCTGCAACCGTCGATGGCCAACTCCGGCAGACAATGCCAATATAAATATTGTGTAGCACTTTAACATTTAACAATACGACGGCGGCAACAACAGCAACATGCGATTGCCACAGCAACAACTGCACAGAGCCATAATAAACGAACAATTACGCTTTCATTTTGTTGGAGCTGCAGCCTGGCCCTGGTACTGCCGCAGTTGCAGGTCTCCATCTTGGCTAGCAGTGCCACATGGGCCTGCCCCGCCCCCACATTCCCCACCAGGGGGCACAGCTCCGGAGATCGTTGCTGCAGCAACAGCAGCAGCAGCAGCAATTCATGTGGTATTTTGTGCGACTCAAACAGCAGGGAGTCAAAAATTTCGCACAAAGGCTCGAAAAAGCCACTGATAAGAGGGACTTGCAACAAAGGAACTGGAACTGCAGCAGCAACTGCAACACGTCGGCCAATCATGGGAAGCAAATCGCTGTTGCCTAGCAAAGGATGCAGTCCCAAAAGGCAACTGTGCAGTTTTTCCAGCTCGCCAGTTGTCTAAGGCCAACTAATTGCGGGCGGCACTGATTACTCATACGCCCCCATGCCGCACGTACAACATGCACCGCTGCCACTTCCAACTTCCAACTGCCGTCCAACTGAGATGCCGAACAATGACGGGCGGCAGCAACACGCGAGGAACATGGCACAAACAAGACAAGAGGCCGCAAATATTTGTTAAACTTGACACCAAACAAAAGAATTTTACCGAAGGATTTGAATGAACCCAAAAAGCGAACAATGTAAGCGCTGCGGCACCGCTGGAATGCGGCGGAGCTGCGCTCGGTGGTGCGGTGGTGCGGCGGCTCAGTGGTGCGTGGCCACGAGGAGGCGAGGAGCCGCACCAGGATGGAGCAAGACGGCGAGGCAGCAAATCAAACACAACAAATCGCCAGGCAAGCACCGAAATCAAATTGTACAGCCAGGCAGGCCAAGTCCAAAGGCACAGTGGGGCAAGCAGTGCGTTTCCATCTGCCAGTAAATACTATTTTTATCTCGGGAATATGGTAAGGTATGGTATGAGCAGCTCAGACAGACCTTCAACCTTTGGAAAGTAGTCTATATAATATGAGATACAAGGCATTAGGCAGATTCCAACCACTGTGCCTGGGGAGCTTGGGTTTTTTTGGGTCCTCCAAGTGCTGACGCGCGCCGATCCTGGGCCGCCGCGTCGGTCGCCAGGAGCTCGGATCTCTGGCTGGGAAGGGATGGGATGGTGCCTAAACCTAACGCAGTTATCAAAAGCGTTGAATTATGGCCGCGTTCGGGCTGCCAGCTAAATGAGCAACACGTTGCTGCTGCTCCTGCTGCTCCTGCTGCTGGTGGCTCGTTTCGTGGCGCTATCGCATTTGATCTCTCGCCTGCCGGTCCCTGGGATCGACGGGCCGACCCGCAGGCTCTGGTTTTTGGGTTAGGGACAAAGATAGGGATAGGGATAGGGATCGGATGGCTGGTTGGCTGACTGGCTGGAGGGGCAGGAAGAGGCAGCTAACAATGCCCATGATATCATTCATTTCTCATTTCGGTTTCATTCATTGAGCGCTGGCCAAGTGTCGCCGGCGGTTCAGTCTAATTTCATAATAAGAAACATCTTCAGGCACACAATAAACGAGCGCGCACTTCGTGTGTATTTCTCTCTTGTCCTTTGGCGTTTGTTTTATTTATTTTATGGCCAACTGCGGCGTTGGAATGCCGCTGGAATGTCGGACGTTTCCGGTTGGCCCACAGCACAGAACTCAGAACGCAGAGCTCCGAACATAGAGCTTCAGAGGGTTCGAACATAGCGCTTCAGAGGATCGGAACCCTGTGGAGGGTCAAAGTGCCATGGATGAGTCAGTGGGGCACTCGTGTGTCTAGCAGCTCGCATGGCCCGAAAGCTCCGAGACGAGACCCTTCCTAATTACTGTCTACCCGGATTCATTTCATTCGCCGCGGACCTTATAGATCAAAGTTGTCCAAATATTTCCCCCCGACCGCTGCCAATTTGAATAAAGGGGCTGCGGAATGATGAGGCGGCGTCTGTTCACACGAGCTGGCTGACGACGGTTGATGGCCCTGGCAACTGGCAACTGGCAACTGGGAATGGCAGCATAGTCACATCCACAGCCACAGGCACATCCCAAGTGGAGCCGAGCGATCCCAGACGACTCCTCCGTGTTGCTCAATGTGTTGAAACATGAATGAATCTTGTTCACAATTTGGCAACAACACGTTTAGCACGAAACGAAGGACGACAATGGCCCAAATGCCGGGGAGCCCCTGATCCCGATCTTTCGCTTATTCGGCTTCGGTTTCGCATCCATTGTGAGGCGGTGCTGTCCTCGCGAATCGAGGGGGGAATAGGGAACCGGGACTCTGGACTTGGGACGCGGGACCAGGCTTTCCTGTTCGGCGGCGTCGCGTAC